AATGCAGATGGAATGAGACTAAATAAAAATATCCCAGCACAATGAGAAGACGAACGTCTGCAGGGTCTTTGGATGAACATCATCATAGTCAGAGCTAGAAGAGCAGGTCCAAGAAAGATGAAACTCATCAGCACCATGTTAAACTCAGGGTTACATGGGCACGAAAATTCCCGATCCATCAGCTTCTCCAGACCAATCAATGCAAAGCTAAAATGCAGTGCACTAAAAGAAGCTGTATTTCTTTCAGGTTTATCAGAATTCTTCGAAAACAACTCAAGAAACACCATCTTTTTTGGACAACAAGAAACCGGCTTACTTCAGACCCACTAAAGGACTGAGACCTTTTAAATAGAATAGATCATCTATATCTGCTCACAGAACAATGTGTAACAGCGAATCTCATATACAGCAACTCAGGATCTTTATTATTAACTATTTACATGTTTATTAATTATAAACTATGAGACAAGGAACACTGAAAAATAACAATGGAAACCATTCAAGCGAACAGGAGTCAACTTCATTCTTTTATATTGGGAGTCATTCAAAAACGCTCCATTGAACTAAATTCAATGAAATTCATCAGAACTAAATTAGATCGTGTTTGTCCAACAAAATGAAAACAAACAGCAGTATCCCATATCATGGTACATGACAGCATAGAGCATATATTTACACTCAATCTTATAGTGCTGCTTTGTTGGGTTATTGGAAAAAAAAAGACAAGGTAAAATGTTGGTCTCTTTCTCTCTCTTTCTCTCTCTCTCTTGTGGAGTGCATGCTGGGAGTGAGTGGGGTGTTGTGAGTGAGTATGAGTGGCGACTCTCGTGTTTGAGTTTAGTTTTTTTTTTTTCGTAGTTTAAGCACAGTTTGGGGTTTTGTTTTGTAGGGGGGTGGGGTTTTGGGCATTTGGGAAGCATGGTGGGTGCAGGTGCGCAGGGTTTGAGTTCAGTCACACGTCGTCACGGTGTAAAAGTGGCCTCTACAGTGAGTGTGGAGAGTTGCTGTTTAGCTGTGGGGGAGATTGTGGGACACACAATTGTATTGTCCGCCTCTAGGATGAACAGCGCTATTGTTATCTTTTTGAGTACAATAGAAAAAGCCAGTGAGTTAGTTCAGAGGGGAATCATACTTGATGGCGTTCTCACTCCCGTTCTACCACATTTATTACCATCAAAAAGAGTCACTTTTGACTCTTATTACTAAATTAGCAATTTGGTGTACTAAGAAAAATAAAGTGGAAGAAAAAGGGGGTTGAAACAGATCTTGTTCTTATGGCTAATTTTTTTGTTAAAAGAAGATTAACTTTTTTAATATGCTTTTTATAATCTCACAAATAATGTGATGTATTTTTATCATTTCTGGGGATCTGATGGTTGTTTATGTGAACCTGATGTTTTTGGATGTTTTAAAGTAAATATTTTTTGAGATGGGTTCAAACTTAAATAAATATTTATATTGATTTTGTGCTTGGAAAATGGTAAAATTTTTGTGGAATGGTTGTATTGAAATAATTTTGTAATGGAAAATTAAAGGACCTTCTTTCTCTCTCTCTCTCTCTAAAGAGAATTAAGAAAATTAATCTGTTTATTCTCTTTTTGAAAAAGCAACAAGTGGGTGTGTACTGATGGTGGAGGTGGGGCTGAGCTCAACATCATCCTGTCCTTGATCACTTGCTTCACCATTTCTCTCTATTCCTCTGCAGAATAACAACAGTCGACTTGGGCAGCGGTCACATAATGCAGCAGTCATAAATACCCACGACGGCAAGCAACAAGGCACTAAAGACAGTGAACATAACCTGCATACTGAAAGATGAAGAACAAAAAAAACAATAGTTGAATGTATGTTGTGTTTTTTTGTACGTCAGATGTAGGGATGTAACGATTCGCTCAATTCACGATTCGATTCGATTCACGATTTTGATTTCACGATTCTATTCGATTAATATGCATTATGCAGAAGCAAGATGAAAAGAAAAGAAAAATACCATCTAAACTTTTCTAAAGACAGTAAGTTCCCCTCAGACATACATTCATATAAACTCCTACCTCTAAATGAATCGCGATTTGTTTAGCATCTCAACCGATTTGAATCGTCACATATTTGAATCGATTTTCAACCGGCTCCCGGTTAATCGTTACATCCCTAGTCAGATGTAATTCATGCTACTTACCTGAGACTGATGAATATATTTGCTGATCAAATCTCATAGCTCGGTCTCATTTCACAACCTTTCCATATGTTTAGACCATGACTTGTTTAACTCAAAATCATGAACATAAACTCCCTTCCATTCTGTTATGGCACAAGCAACATAATCACCATCAAGTAACAACATGAAGATCCACATTACAGATGCAATCAGGCGAGATATGAGAGCTTTAGGACAGTTCTGTGAGTATCATCATATGTTTCTTCAGGGCAATGAAACCATCCATATCTAAGAGGCCTTAAAATGTGGAACATTATAACCAGGGTGCGAACTACGGGGGAGCTAGGGGGAGCTCGGCTCCCCTTAATAAGACATGGGCTCCCCTGAAAACGTGATTTGTGAAATTTTGGGGGGTCTCAAAGGCGTCATCAGAATCACGTGATTGCAAACAACCTATAAAGATAACTATACATGCTATTTTTGTCATGAGCATCAAGGTGTGGGGGTGCTGCGGTGCAAATTCCACTCATGTTTAGTACATGTTAACTCA